TATCCAACTTCACCATCTCTCATCTCTCACTTGGACTGTGCTTCATCATGACAGATAACCCAGAGAGCCATTTACAGTCTCCAATTTCGCCTTTGGTGTTGTCGCCAAGTAAGGTTATACATTTATTCCTAGAGATACAATGACTAGATGAAAAGAGTTTCATCAAATTGTTTTTAAACTTGTAGTCTATCAACAGATCACTCGGCTGTAGGGCACTATGAATTAATTAAAAATGAGTCCTAGAATTATTCTAAGTGTAAAAAAGCACATCAGGATATTGCATTGTGTTTTAGAGGCTGACTACATTACATTTAAAAAATGTAAACATTAAGGGGTGCCTGGGTGGCTCAGTCGGTTGAGCGTCTGTCTGCCTTTGGCTTGGGTCATGATCCTGGGGTCCTGGGATCAAGCCCCGCGTCAGGCTCTCTACTCAACGGGGGAGTCTGCTTCTCCCTCTCCCTCTGTCCCTGGTCATGTGTGCTCTCTCTCCCGCTTACTCGGTCTTTCAAAAAAATAAAACTTACAAAATTGTAAACATTAAAATAAATGCATTTTTATGATCCTTAGTATTTCTTCTTATCACAATCCATTGGGAGCCTAAAGAAATGAAGGTGGTCAAGCCTCCCTATCCTGAGAGGTGAGCCTGGACTTGAGACAGTCCCCTATTCCACATCCTTTCTGCTCTGGCTCCACCTCTTCCCAGCAGCCAGTGGGTTCTGTGACTACTAGATGCAGTCATGTCAGCCCACTGCTCACATGCTACACTTACTTAGAGCCCTGATCTTGGAGTACAAGCTCCGACCAACCTGGGCTGCTGGAACCTGCACAGAGGCACCTAGTCTGCTGTCTACCCCACTGGCCTCCTGGTGTCTGAGATGCCCTTTCCCTTCTTTCTCTGGTTTTCTCCCACCTTGCAGTTTTCAGCCCAAGCCATCTTTGCCCTGCCTTGGTCAGGCTTCTTCGTTTACTGCCTTCCCATAACTCTGTATCTTTCCTCAGAGCGTGTTATCTCTGTGCAATGATACGTTCATTAGTGTGATCACTTGTCTAGCAGGTTCACTCAATGTGGGAAGTCCCCCCTTTCCTTCTCTGCACCCCACCCCACTGCGATGGCTGCGGAGCTTAGCACTGGGCCCGTGCAGAGTAGGCACTTGGCAGTTATCTGCTGAATGAATGGGGCTGAGCCAAGAGGCCACCTTCCCAGCTGCTCCTTATGAGTTACGCTTTGGGAGGAGGGAAAACTTAACACACAGGTCCTTGAGAAAGCAGGTCACCAGCACCAGAGAGAAGTGTGGCTTGAGAGAGGAGACATCTGAGGGTCAGAGTAGATGTCAAGGATGGCCCATTGAATTTTAAGGCCTACAGCAACACACCACAATGTGAAAATTTCCTTTAACTTAGGGAGAGAGAAAAAAAAGATTTATGCTTAACAACTCGGATGTTTTTAGAGGAATGCACTGATAAGCAAATTTCTTAATTTAATTGTCATTTTGTGTAGGGATGCACATAACCACGTCCTTTGTCCCTTATCAGAACAATCAGGCAATTGTCGATAATTTACCCTTAAAGGTGCCCACTGACTGTCTTAATGGACTGGGGACAAAGCAATGGGTAGCATAAAAATGACACATGCATTGGGGCTCCTGGGTGGCTCAGTTACTTGAGTGTCCAACTCGTGGTTTCCGCTCAGGTCATGATCTCTGGATAGCAGGGTTGCAGGGTGGAGTCTGTGTGGGATTCAGCATTCAGTGAGGAGTACGCTTGTCCCCCACGTCCCCCCTCTCAAACAAATAAAATTAAAAAATAATCACACATGTACTACATTAATGCACGAGTTGTTTGTAATTTATTGTGCTTGAAGAGTAGTTTTACTTTCTAAGTTTATGTGTACTATGAAGCAATTAATCACATATGAGAAAGACCCAGAAGGGCCTCAGAGAAGTCACTAAAATCTCTTTCCAGAAAATTAAGGTGTTTTGCTCTCCAAATGACTTACCTTTGTATTCTTGATTATTATACATGATCTCAAATAGGTTTACTTCTCAAGTAGTTACTTAAAAGAACTATAGTGGAGCTATCTATAAAGTGTCTTTATCCACACAGCAGGTTATCAGTGATAGAGGCCATACAGATGATTATGTGACATGACATAATTGTAGAAGGAGAGAGTATTGAAATGCACCTGTGGGTGCCCAGTAAGATTTTGATGGGAATAAAATGAAAGAAATGTCATCATGCACATATCTGTCTAAAAGTAACAGAAAATCTCTAATCTAGGCTGTAGTAAAAATATTTATTACACAGCATTCAAAATGTGGATGGTCAAATGTAAGACAAAAAGTGCAACGTTCTAAAACGCCAATAAGGTGTTTTTTTAATGTATTTCACTGAAGTTACTATGTTTTTAAGGACTTGGGAGAGAAATTGTTAGTACCTTAATGGTAAATTTGATTTAAGGTTCTGGAAGTCTAGCCCCCAGTGGTGGGTTCCCAGTGTTATGTCTGAACTGTGCCAGACTGAGGATTAGGGCGAGGTGCCTGGCTGGTGGCTGCCAACAAGGCATAGCTGCAGGGAATGTTGTTGGGTGGGGAAGTCTGAGCTTGCTTCTTTATTAGCCAAACCCTCTATGATATTTCAGGGCAGCCTTGCGTTTGTCTCCCCTATTGAGGACAGGGCCAAGATAATAATAATTATCTTCTTATTCTCAAAGCATGTCACAAAGTAGGTTCAAGATAAATTTGTGAAATAAGTGTAGTTTATTCCCATCCAGGTTTATTATCCATGCTATACTATTCTTACTAAGTACAATGGTGCTACTATTCGTCAGAGTCCCTAAATTTATTTAAAGTATTTTTGCCTAGATTTTTTTCTCAAATTCTAATTGAAAAGAAATTCTAATTGTTTGCCTCCTAAACTTTTGGACCACTGTTAATTTGCATAGTTGTTTCAAATCAAATGCTATGTCCCATATCTTGCGTTTACTCAGTTATTCACTGCTAACATCTAAATCAGAGAAGTGAAAAGGACAATTGTTTAGTGCTTTTTAAAGTCCCTGCCCAAGATCAGTAGGGAAATCCCATTAGCTCCATTCATCGCATTTCTCATAAATCTAAAAGGAAAGCAAGTATCCAAAGCCTTATTCTCTAATAGTTCTTATTTGTAAAACCTTGACAGGGCTTTATTCTAAATTGCTTCCAAATTACATAAAGAATATGATGGTTAGTGAATCGTGATAGTTTCAGTTATCGAATAAATAACCAGAATAGTAAAAGGGGACTAATCTGAAAGCAAACACAATGATGGGCTACGAGGACGATGAGGCAAAAAGAACAGAGCTGTGGCATTCTTCAACTACCATCTGGCTCAATCCTCTTGAAGTGGGCAAGTTGAAGAGTCTTTTATTCGGAGCCCAAAACTTCTTCAAAAGGGGTATTTAAATATTAGTATTTTCATATAGTCAAAAAAAAAAAAAAACCCAAGCCCAAAACAAACCAAACCTTTTTTGTCGCCAAAATGGAGTGTTTAAGAGAATAACGGGTAATCTTCTGGCTAAACAGGAGGGCTCAGGGCAAGCCGTGGGTGGGACGTTGGCGGCAGGGGCACGGTGGCCATTTGCCAGCTTTCGGGTCTTCACCTCCGTCGGTTTGCGGTCGGAGTGACTTATTAAAGTTGTCATCATTGTTTGAAATTACACAAGAGGTGTAAAAATAAGGACTTCATTGGGAAAAATGTACCTGTTACTTTCTAGGGCCTTATTTCATCAAAGGAAACAATAATGGTAGTGTGGCCATATAGGATAATTGAGGCAAGTGATACAACAGAATTATCACCTCTGGTTCAAACTGTGCTTTTTTTGTGAAATGTGAACCTGTTTCATCACTTTCTAACAGACCCCTGACAGTCCCTGTTTTTGTCTATTAAGCCATGGATTTTTAAATGAAACTCTGAGAGGCTTTTATTTTGTTTTCTTGAGAAGGTGTGTTTAAAAACTGTAAGTTGAATGAATAGGAGCCCACTACTTATCTTCAGCAAGGGTGCTTTAAAAAAGGTATTTTAGCATTCTCTGTGGTTTAAAAGACAAAACCAAGTCCTGCCGGCTTTGTGTTGTGCTTCTCTTTACAGACTGCAGTGCCTTCTGTCTGCTTTAGGGTGTGGCATCTGCCATTGGGGAGGAGAAACTGGCATGTGTCGCCTTTTATAGCAGGCTGATTTCATTGTGCTGGGGGCCTCTATTTCATAGCCTCTTGGTTCCAATCTTCTACTTGACTTGCTGAAACAAATGGAATTAAAAGAGATCTTGACTTATATATATTTTTTTCTAGTTCCATGATTTTTCTATATGAAAAATATTTTTAAGAAAAAGGCCAGAGAGCTAAACTTGGGTGACTCATTTTTCCCTCTCAGGATTAGTTGTGAAAATAAGCCACGAGATGTGGCTACACCTGTTTAAATTGACTTGGATGTATTTTATCAATTTGGATAAATGCTTTCGTGTGACTGTATGTATATGTTTAGTTTGGGTCTAAATGTCTAAAAGCATAAATGTGTAGCTGATCTTAGAATATATGTGTTCACACACGAAACGGACATGTATTCATAGTTGCATATGAAAAACTTTAAAAATCCAACTTTCGTGGTGTACTGTGTATAATTAGCACGTATTTGAATGTATAAAGGGAGAAAATCCAGGAGAAAGTGTCAAAAAGGCACACTAACAAAGATGTAGTATTCTCTTGGCAAAAACTGATGAATGATTTGGCATGAATTCATCTTACATTTCTGTTAGTCTCTCTTACACACAGTGATATAACCCCTGTTTTCCAGCTGTTCGCATGGAATTGCGATTTGTTGTTTGTACACTCTGTAATGACCCTTGGGTGTGCACCTGATTCCCCTCCCCCACCAATTAGCCACCAGTTTTTCCCACCTATCTTTTTCTATGTAGTCATTAAGGTATTTGCACTTGTGCAAGCAAATAAAAATAACCGCTGCAGTAGAAATAGACTAAAATGATCTTTATAAAAAGCTGAGGAATGGAGGGACTTTAGAAAACTATGTTCTCCCATATGTATCATTTCAGTTAGTGTGACCCCTTGGAAAGTTCTGGTTTCAAATGCTTTCTCTCCGTGAAAACGAGTTCCACACTAGTACTAAGTGAGGCACTGCTTAGGTTCAGAAGGCCTGCTTGAAGATATCCACAAGGTCACCAGGTGATGAATTCACAATAACAAAAACACTTAAAACACCCTAAAGTGCCAGAAGAGTAGGGTATTCTTAAAGGAACACGGTCCGAAACACTCCTGCTCTAAGGCTAGATCTGACCCATCTCCATCACTACGGATCTTGTATGTATTGGGTGTAACACGTACTTCTTTTAGTTTTGTTTCACATTGCTTAGAGATGAACTCCTATCCAGAGGGTTAATCGTGCACATTAACCTCTGAAATACGATGAAAGGCGTCGTACAGATTCATGAAGACACGAGATGAACTTCAGCTGTCCCTATTATGGCACCGATAGTTAAATTTCCATGTGCAAGCTGGAGCATAACACACACCGGTCTACTTATTCCAAGACTTTCCCTTTAGAGAGAGGATAGACAAGCGCCCGTCGTTAAGAAAAATGCTCCTCTGGGAATACTTCTGCGTCGGCACTGACAAGCCTGCAGGCACACAGAGGGTGCCTGGAAGGAAGAGTCACGTAAACGTCCTCCTCGGGGCAGGTGCCGTCGTCTCCGCACTTACTCCTGGGCGCTTGCTGTGTCCAGGACACGGCACTCCCCGAACCCGCGCGGCTGACCTTCCCCGAAACTCTTTCCTCCTCTCGCAAGTTTTGGAGAAGTTGTGGGAATTACACCGATGGCCCCAAATCGAGGCAGACCGGCTAACGTTCTGGGGGAAAAAAAAAAAAATTACATAACTCCTGGGAGAGGCAGTGCTTCTTTTTTTTTTTTGCACGGATCGCCCAAACATTTTGCTCCTCCGAACCCCGGAGGCCAACCGACAACTTTGTTCCCCAGCCCTTCTCCCTCTTTTGTCTGCTCGTCGGACTCGTTTCCCACCTTTGTATCGTTCCTTTTAGACGTGAAAACAAACACGCGAACGGCCGGTTGGCAAGGAGACGGGGCGCGAGGGGAGAAAGCGCAGCCCGCCGCCGCCCCAGGCCGCCGCGCTCCGGGCGCCTGCGGAGCCGGCCCCAGCCCAGCTCAGCCCAGCCCAGCCCTGCCCTGCCCTGCCCTGCCCGGGGCGGCGGGGCGGCGGGGCGCGGGGCGCGGGGCGGCGGGGCGGCCGGGGGCCCGCGAGGCTGCGCCCGGCGGCGGCGGCGGCGGCGGCGGCGGCGGCGGCGGCGGGGCGGCCCGCGCCGAGTCCAGTCCGCGTTTTGCGAGTGCACGCGAGCGACCAGACCGAAGTGGATAATAGTTGCTCGGGCTCGCTCGGCTCCCTCGCATGCCGGGCTGGGCCCGACAGGCTCGCTCAGTCGTGCATTTACCCATATCCGGGTTAGAGAGGAAAAGAGAAAAGTTTCATTTAAACCTGAACTAAAAACTTTGACCATGAAATCACACAGCGGGAGCAGGCCCAGACCGTAAGGCGTGACTCCCGGTTCGGCTCCGGCGGGGCCTGTGGAGGGGGAGGGGGCCCGCTCGCCTCCCGTCGGGGCGTGTGGATGCGCACAGGAGGGGCCGCCGACTAAAAAGTGGGTTTTATTGTCTCCCCCCGCCCCCCGCCCGGCCTCGCCACGCCGCGGCGATCATGGCCGCGCGGGCAGCAGCGGCGGCGGCGGCGGCGGCGGCGGCGCGGGCGCGGACGGGCAGCGGCGAGCGGCGGGCGCCCCCCGGGCCGCGGCCGGCGCCCGGGGCCCGGGACCTGGAGGCGGGGGCGCGCGGCGCGGCGGCGGCGGCGGCGGCGGCGGCGGCGGCGGCACCGGGACCCATGCTGGGGGGCGGCGGCGACGGCGGCGGCCTGCATAGTGTGCACCACCACCCCCTGCACCCCCGTCACGACCTGAACATGGCCCATAACGCGAGCACGGCGGCCGCCGCCGCCAGCTCTCACAGCGCCAAGAGCGGCGGCTCCGAGGCGGCTCTCAAGGAGGGTGGAAGCGCCGCCGCGCTGTCCTCCTCCTCCTCCTCCTCCGCGGCGGCGGCGGCGGCGGCGGCGGCGGCGGCGGCGGCGGCGGCGGCGTCCTCCTCTTCCTCCTCGTCGGGCCCGGGCTCGGCCATGGAGACGGGGCTGCTCCCCAACCACAAACTGAAAACCGTTGGCGAAGCCCCCGCCGCAGCGCCCCACCAGCAGCACCACCACCACCACCATGCCCACCACCACCACCACCATGCCCACCACCTCCACCACCACCACCACGCACTACAGCAGCAGCTAAACCAGTTCCAGCAGCAGCAGCAGCAGCAACAGCAGCAGCAGCAACAGCAGCAGCAGCAGCAGCAGCAGCAGCAACATCCCATTTCCAACAACAACAGCCTCGGCGGCGCGGGCGGCGGCGCGGCTCAGCCCGGTCCCGACATGGAGCAGCCGCAACATGGAGGCGCCAAGGACAGTGCCGCGGGCAGCCAGGCCGACCCCCCGGGCCAGCCTCTGCTGAGCAAGCCGGGCGACGAGGACGACGCGCCGCCCAAGATGGGGGAGCCGGCGGGCGGCCGGTTCGAGCACCCGGGCCTGGGCGCCCTGGGCGCGCAGCAGCAGCCGCCGGTCGCCGTGCCCGGGGGCGGCGGCGGCGGCGGCGGCGGCGGCGGCGGCGGCGGCAGCGGCGGCGGCGGCAGTGGCGGCGGCGGCGGCGGCCCCGCGGCCGTCTCGGAGTTTAATAATTACTATGGCAGCGCTGCCCCTGCTAGCGGCGGCCCCGGCGGCCGCACTGGGCCTTGCTTTGATCAACATGGCGGACAACAAAGCCCCGGGATGGGGATGATGCATTCCGCCCCAGCCGCCGCCGGGGCCCCCAACAGCATGGACCCCCTGCAGAACTCCCACGAAGGGTACCCCAGCAGCCAGTACAACCATTATCCGGGCTACAGCCGGCCCAGCGCGGGCGGCGGCGGCGGCGGCGGCGGCGGCGGCGGAGGAGGAGGAGGAGGAGGAGGAGGCAGCGGAGGAGGAGGAGGAGGAGGAGGAGGAGCAGGAGCGGGAGCTGTGGCGGCGGCGGCCGCGGCGGCGGCGGCAGCAGCAGCAGCAGGAGGCGGCGGCGGCGGCGGCGGCGGCGGCGGCGGCGGCGGCGGCTATGGGGGCTCGTCCTCGGGGTACGGGGTGCTGAGCTCCCCCCGGCAGCAGGGCGGCGGCATGATGATGGGCCCCGGGGGCGGCGGGGCCGCGAGCCTCAGCAAGGCGGCCGCCGGCGCGGCGGCTGGGGGCTTCCAGCGCTTCGCCGGGCAGAACCAGCACCCGTCGGGGGCCACCCCGACCCTCAACCAGCTGCTCACCTCGCCCAGCCCCATGATGAGGAGCTACGGCGGCAGCTACCCCGACTACAGCAGCCCCAGCGCGCCGCCGCCGCCGCCGCCGTCGCAGCCCCAGTCCCAGGCGGCGGCGGCGGCGGCGGCGGCGGCGGCGGCGGGGGCGGCGGCGGGCGGCCAGCAGGCGGCCGCGGGCATGGGCTTGGGCAAGGACATGGGCGCCCAGTACGCCGCTGCCAGCCCGGCCTGGGCGGCCGCGCAACAAAGGAGCCACCCGGCGATGAGCCCCGGCACCCCCGGCCCGGCCATGGGCAGATCCCAGGTAACCCCCGCGCCGGCCGGGCCTGCTTCCGCCGCGGCGGCCTCGCCGCGCGCCTCGAGCCCGACTTTCTTTCTTTCCGCGTACTTTTTCCGCGTCTTCTGCCGGGGGGGAGGCGGGGGCGAGGCGCCCAAAGCCATTTTAACTCGCGGCTGCCTCCCTCGGAGGCTGGGCGGTGCGCGGCGCCCGAGTGCGCGGCCCGGGGGCCCGGGGGCCCGGGGAGAGGGTCGCGCCGAGGCCCGGGACGCCCGCCGGGACGCGCGGCCGCCCCCCACCCCCACCCCCCGCCCCGGGCGCGGAGCCCCGCGCGGAGCCGTGCGCGGAGCCGGGGACTGCGCGCCCGGGACGCGGCGTGGGCGCCGGGGGCGGCCCGGGCGGCCTCGGTGACCGGATCGGCGCTCCCGGCCCGCCGGGTCGAGGGAGGAATATTGACCCCGTCTCCTCGGTGAGCGCCCACGACCAGCTTTAACTGGGAAAAGAACGAGGAACTTTGTCCTACCTCCAGCCACACCGCGTTCCCTCTTAGCCTGCAAGGTGAAGGCAGAGGGGGGAGGAAAGAAAAAAAAAAAAAAGAAAGAAAAAGAAAGAAAGAAAAAGGTTAGCTTTGTGGCCACCGAGGGTGTTTTCCGTAGTTGTGCCCGGCTATTCGGAGATACTCGATGCGAGCTTTGAGTTCGAGTGCTTCGTAGCAAAAATAACACCCCGGTTTACAACGACGTGGAGGTGAGAGAGATTCTAAAATTGATCGGTTCGTTCCCGAGAATAGCCAGGAAATCCATTATTTTTGGCTTCCAGGCTGCTCGAAAGGAGTCACCTTCAACAGGGTAGGCTGTGCTAATGGGACGCATTCCGGTTAAATGGAACTTATTTTGGTCACGGATCAGGCATACATTTTATTCGGCGAGTCCAGGAAAATAGCAGACCCGTGAAAATGGATCTTTTTGGATCAGATTTATTTGGGTTTTCTTTGATTTGCTGTCACCCAGGTCCTACAGCGTTATTAGGAAGTGTCCTGCACTCTTGCTGTTTCTTGCTCGTAGGCTGAGCCTAAAGACTGACTTGATCTCCTTTGCAAGGTTTGGAATTTGAATTGTGGAGGTAAACTGGCTGTAATAGTCTCCAGACAGCTGCCTCTGAGTTGACATCTAATCTGCCATCTGATTGGCTCCCCTCTCACCATTGGGCATTTAGCACTGCTGATGTAAATAGAAGTGCTGAGCAGTACAGTCACAAAAATTCTTGCCACAAATAATAACTGAGCTCTATTACAAGCAGATGCAAGGTGGAATATTATTCGAGGCTTAAGTTATTACGAATCATAGTTATTAATAAGAGGATTAAATACTGAAAACATTATGCTGGTGTCCAGCAGATTGGGCATTTACAAAATTCCGGGTCTTTGACAGTCTTAACGTGGACACAGCAGATATCACGGACTTTGATTGTAAGATGAGAATACGGCAATTGAAAAACAATTAAACCAAAGGTTTTACCGATTCTTGGATTCGTAAAGCTTTGATGAAAGCTCCCTTTACAGATTAAACTCTGCAAACAATGGGTTGTCAGCACGACGCAGTTTAAAATAAAAAAAAATTAAGACGTTTAAAAATCCCCAGGTTCCGAAATGCGGCGGTATCTTTTAGTGATACTTAATTGGCTTTATAACAAGACGAGAGCTGTATTTCTAGTAACGTGTGTTTTAAACCATTCCGATCGTTTAAAGATGTTTGTAGATGAGAAGTTTCAAATTGATGTGATATTCAGAAGTCAGGAAGTGAGGAAACTGATTCTGCAGACAATAATCAAAGGGGAAAAATGGGTAATCTCGAGAAATACTAAAAATTATTTTACATTTGCTTCTGGTTTGGGAATGTAGAAATGCTCTAGGAATTTTTTTCTTTTTAATTTTGTTAGGTTTGGTGATGTGAGCCTTATTTGAAGTGCTCACGCATGTGTTAGGGAAACTATCACATGCAAGCTGTGCTGGGTGTGTTTATTCCAAATAATCTTTCTTTCTTAGACGTCTTAAATGCTGTGAAAGCTTTTAGAATTCTGATTTGTTAGAAAGGAATCAACGGTGGTTGTAATCTGTGTTTTTACGCAGCTTATTTATTTTAGGAAGGTGTATTTTAATAATAATCATGTCTTGGAGGAGAGATGTGTCAGAATGGATACAGGACTGAATTTAACAGATAATCATGTGAATCCCCAGCTGAGGACATTAGTGTCCACTGCTTTTAAATCTTTAGTTACTGGAGTTGTACTTTTAATGAAAATAGATTTTCCTACTCTTGATAGAAAATTTGTAATATCAGTTTTTATCTTTGATTCTCACAAGACGCAGAAGCCTTGTGCAAATAAACCGATGTAATTAATTTTAAAAAGATTTATTTTGTCAGCTTGCTTTTAAAGGAATAGTTTGAGATTCACATCTTTGTACACTAGAACAGAAGGATGATAGAGGCAGATGTAGGTAGGTCCTTGTTACTTTTAAGTATTATTTCTTAATGGTACCAATCATTTTAAGTATTTTGATGTTTTGGAATGAGAGTGAATCCATTATGTCCTCAGTGTGACCCTTGGGAATAGCTTTTTTATTTTTGAGGGGGCGGAAGAAAAATGCTGGGCATATGACCTAGATTCACAGATTTCTTTTAGGTACTCTGCCGTGTAATGTGTGGAATGTGTCTTTTTTATATTTTTTCCGTTTTGGAAGGCTCATATTTCTTTAGTATTTGTTATGATTATGATAAATAGTTATTTGTCCAAAATATTAAATTACTATGTAATTATAGGTCATAAAGTACTATTAAATCATGTTGTTAAATGATGAAATTTTCTTGTGGCTTTAGCACATTTAGTTTCATTTTTGGTTTTAGGAATGGTTTATATTGGGTGGCAAACGTTTGTGTAATTGGAAGCAAAACATGTATGTATTGTATTGGGGGCATCTTTTTGAAAAGTGAAATAAGCCATTTTATGATAGTTTGTTTACTGGGTTTTTGTAAGATAAAGTATTTGGAGAGAGTAGTTTCAAAAGGAATACTGAGGTCTACTCACGTAACCAGGATTTTGTAATGTCCACATTTGTGCTGAATTCCATTAATGCTATTTTAACCTTAGTTTTATAGAATATAATGCAGCGTAATAAAAAGAGCCTTATTTACCATTAAAAGAAGTGACTAGCTGGCTTACAAAGCAGGAAGTTACAGACTGGTTCCTGATTACCTTAAAATTTGTATAAGGTATATTATAGCATCACATCGTTCCCCACTTCCCTCCCAATGAAATTTTACCCTATCTGATGTTTTAAATCTTGTTAAGAAATTACTGTGCTCTAAATTGATATATTTGCTGAGATCTTGCTGGCTGGCTAGCTGCTCTGTTGTCAGAGAAGGTGGAATTGGCAGCTGTGGTCATAGAATAGGCCTATCCTTGAAAAAAAAAAAAAACAACGAAAATATAACAAAAATGTTTACACTTTTCTGCTTTCTTAGGTTACCTGGAATGAAATTATGCATGGCTTAAAATTGTTTTCTTTGGATATTCTCATTTCTGTTTACTTACTTTGGATGATTTTAAAAAAAGTGATAACTACTCTTTAAGACAGCTATCACTTAATGTTTATATTAACACAAAATTGGTAAGTGTATTCCAGGGAACGTCATATTTTTTACCTTGGGTCTATACTGAATGACCTTAGTTTCCGTTTTTTCTTTGGTTTTGCTTTTTATTTATATCTAGGAATGAATTTTTGGCAGGGCCTTTTCTACTTGTACCATTATCCCCGGCATCATATTGTATCAGAAGTATCACAAGTATGTTGTGGAGATGGAAATAATCCAAGTCACCCTTTGACACTTATACTACTGTACTTTCCCTCTAAATGTCATCTTCTTTCATTAGAATTGAGAGAATAATATCTTCTCTCTGGTATAAACATAGTATTGATTTTGGTTTGAGAACCAATTCTAAAAACGTAAGAGAGTATAGAGGAAGACTCATAAATTCATTTGGTAGTTTTACCAGACACATATTTTAAAGAAAACAGGTATAAGAGGATGGGGTTGAGTTTTCAGTTCTATTTCTTATTAATGGACTTTGTTACTTTATAATTTGGGGCAGAATTTATTTTAAAAAAAGGCTTCTGATGTAACAGGAACTTATTTCTGTAGGATAAATACCAATATGACAGGCAAACTGAAAAGGTGATCACTTCGTTTATTTATACCCTGTTCTGTCCTGGGAAGAGAGTGGTTTGATTTAAAATTTGTTGGGGGGGGGGTGTCTCTCTGAAATTTTGTTACCTTTTTTGAAGATTGATTTGGGCATGTAATTTTGGATGTATTGCATTGGGAACTATATTAGCTTTTTGCCCAGTGTCCAAAATTTAGAGGCTTTTCTCACTCTAAGACTTGACACTGCTCAGTTAATGGATCTTGTGTACTTTGATCCATCATTGAGGAAAAGGAACTAATAATTCACTTGTGTCACTTTCATTTTGGCTTATGTGTAGATTTGTAAATTTGAGGGTTATATTTATATTTGAGAGAACTATTGTGTATCACTTAAGACAACATATTTATGGAGGCTCACGAGGAATGTTAATAAAACTCAAATTCTATTATTTTTTTGAATTAAATTTTCAAAATGGATGTCACAAAATTTTTATGACATTTTATAATGCTCTTTATAATATATGGGCCACTTAAACATCTTAGGCTTTTTTGGAATTGGATCGTTGTTGGTCTCTGGCCTTTTCTGAAGTGTTCTTCATCAGATTTGTGTAGATGCTCTGTGGATGTGTAAAGTAGAGCCACATACTCACTCTGTGTGTGTGTGTGTATGTGTGTGCATGCATGCACAGGCACTTGAGGCTGAGGGATCCCTGTTTGACTTCTCTGTGTGTGCGGGGAGAAGTATCAGGCACAGCTGCTTATTCTCCAAGGATGTATATATTTATTGTAGATGTAGAACTATTACACAGTATTGCTCTTTACCAT